TTTTAGCTTATTCACCATAGTTGCAACAAAACTTCTAAAATTTTGTCTCGCTCTTAGCAATTAAGCCCCCTTAAATTTTGGGCTCCACAAACTTTGATTTACCCCAATATCCTATAAAATTTTCTTATATGAGCTTTGGGAATTATAGAAGCCAGAAGTTTAAAACAGATGGCTAGAATGGATTTAAGATCCTTATCAACAAAGCCTACTATCATGTTCTTAATGATGGGAGAACTCCTGTACAACTGCAGTTTTTCTTAAAGAGAACAAAGAAGACCTCTGAAGGTGAATCATGTACTTGTGGGAAGTGGTTATATGGTGGGTGTCAATCATCAGAGGTACGTACCTTCATCGAAGATCCAGAAGGAATTTGGCGGCCATGTTGTGCCGCCTTGCAGCGTGAAGCGGGGTCAATCAATGAGAAAGAACTACAAACGACACCCAATCTCCCCTTCAAAAACCCAAACCTCACGGCCACCATCAAGGAATCAAAAATCCAGTCGCCATCATTGATTGCTCTTCCACCTTTCCTCATCTATCCGGAACAATATGAAAATCACCCATCCAAGCACCCAAATGATATAATAGTACCTGAGTTATACAAATCCGAGGTACAAAAACACAATAATCAGACATCGAACAAAATGAAAGATGAGTCGACCGAGTCACACAGCAAACGAACAACAGCAGGATCGAGAAATACTCGATTTCATCACCTAAACATATCAGAGTCAAAGTCGGTGATAGGAACCTTGGCGACGCAGTTGAGGCATTCTTTCCTTTTGCGGTGGATGAGAAATCTGAAGACATCTATTCAGATGGCTCCATATCCGAGTTGGAAGAGTTCAACTCGCCGCTTCCACTGGTCGCCCACGCCTCGACCAAAGGAACATCGCCGTAATCGTCGTTGCACCCTCCGCAAGAAGAGGAGGAGGAAGAAGTAGGGGCGAAGTTGCAGATCCGGGGCGACTCAAGCGGCGGTACTTGGAGGGCGGCTTACCAATCGAACAGGCGAGGATCCTGTCCCATAAGAGCTCAAAGAACTCGCGAAAAACAGAGACGCGTCTAAGGAGCGTCGAAGATTTCCACCTTTTCTCTGCAGTTGACGGCGGAGTAGCGGAGATTTCCAGCTATTCTGTACGGCAGACGGAGGTTAGCCATCACAACGTCGTGATGCGGCTTCGACCAGAAAAGAAAGGGCGACTGGGGGAGCTTTTCATCTGGTGAGAAAATTAGCGTTTGAGTGCAGCAGGAGCTTCGCTGCGATGAGAACAGGAAAGAGGAAGGAGATTTTCAGGGGGAAAAAACAGTGGGCGGTTCTTTATCCCTCCCATCAGGCGGGATTTTCTAAATTAATGCCGCCTAAACACCCTGCCACGTCAGCCTCCTAAAATTACTCTTGAAGCAGGAAAATTTGAATCGGGGGTGCAGTTATACTTTTCAGCTATAAATGATACTGTTAATTCTCTAATAACCTGACCCAATCGGAAATAGAGGTCGTGGTAAATGATGCACCCGTTCCAGTAAACTTTGCAGCTGCCATTCATATAAATTAATTAATTGTTACAACAGAAGTTGAACTCCTTACCAATCATAAGTTTGTGCGAGTTAATGACACATACAACAGACCACACAAACATAACAGTCGAATAAATCCAAAATGCTCCAACCAAGTTGAAGGCGGCCTATAAATTTAAACAAAAAAACTAAATCCACGTTCTGCATTTTCACGTTCTGCAACAGAACAAATTCACGTTCTGGGGCATCAAATGCTACTGAATTAGAAGTTCGAATAATTGCTGGACTCCAGCAAGCATTCACAATTTCAAGCATTTACAGTGACGATTCAGCCCATCATGTTATCATTCATAGCTATGCAGAAATGTGTGTCTGACATATCATCGCAAAATCGGAATTCAAACAATGTACACTAAAGATGATCAAACCAAAATTCACTCGAACTCAAAGGAAACTACAGCAAAGCACAAAAACGGAGAAGTAACAGGTGCGCCGTGAGTAAGTAAATTGTAATGGCAGGAAATTCCACGCAGGAAATTCCACGAAGAAGTAATAGCTGCGACAGTTGAAGTTGAAAACCAAAACCGGCTGTGGTTCTTCCCCTAAGACTTGGCGTACACAGAAACACATACAGTACTGACTTATTAGAGGAAATAGGCAATTAAACCCGTAACCTGTGAAGTGGTATCCTTTGAGACAACTATTGAGCTACCCAGTCTTTTATCAATTTCTAGGTATTGCACAATCACAATTGTGAGGTCAATAAAGAAGAGGTAATTGAAATGGTTGCGTAGGGATTCAACAATTCGAAAGCAGGCAAACTCATAATTACATGAAACCCTCGAAATGACTTACACAAAGGGAAACCAATTGTCCGTTGATAGGCATTAATTGTAGTCATGAGATTGTCAATTTTGCCATATCAACCTCACAACATCAGCTCCTAATCACTTATGAGATGTCTCAAAAGTCAGAACCACTCTCTAGCCCGTTCACTTTTAGCTTTCTAATTCCCAGAGTTTGATTAATTGGGGGGGGAAAAATCTTGGCGAGAAGGTTTTCTATTTTTGGTAATACATTCATCATCTTACCTGGTTCCTGTCCTTCTGAACCTGCTCCATTATAGCAAACACACGTTCGATCCCCAGGCTGACTCCAACAGCAGGGACTTGCTTGGTGCCAAACATGCCGATAAGGTTGTCATAACGCCCACCAGCCGCAATCGAACCAACCTGAAAGGATCAATACATTAGACCATACTTATTGACAAACAAAATCCCAGATCAAAGTTGGAGTAACAGAACGGCAATGATAATAACGCACTTGTGTAGTTCCTTTGAAGACAGCCTCGTATATGACTCCAGTATAGTAATCAAGCCCTCTGACAAGGCTCAAGTCAAAAACAACTTTGCTAATGCGCTTTGAACAGTCCAAAGCTTCAAAAAGAATATCCAGTTCATCCAGATACCTACACACCTGAACCGACGATGAAGCTGCTAGGAAGCTATTTTGCAGAAAAGGAGAAGAATGGACCGGAAACAATGCACAGAGAGGTTTGTGTAGTGTCAGTGACAACCACAACGAAAGCATCATGACCGAAGAGGAATAACTACTTAGCAAATGAACTACGATCAGATTCAAGCGGAAAACATCACATTCTGATTTCCACGATTCGACCCATTTCCACCCATTTTCTCAGGAACCAAACAGGGATGAAAAGAAAAGTACGCAACTCATAATTCAACAAAACCCAAGCAAACAATGATGAAACAGAGACACAAACTCATACGGCCCATCATCACAAAGCATCCGATCTATCCTTCAATCAATCAAAAGAAGCAATGATTCCACTTCAGTGTAGTTAGTAGTAGTGAGTTCCAGAGGAAGCAGACGAAAAGGTAAAGAAACTTTTTGTTCTTACCTCTCTCTCTCTACAAACAGAAAACAGTTGAAGAAACAAAGCCGGGCGCTGTGATCTCAGGGAATCAAGATGGGATTTTGGAATTCCTTGGTGGGGAAGATTGAGATTCCTGTGGATGGATGGGTTATTAGAAAGAGCGGGGAAGTGAGCTTGGGGACTGAAGAGTTGGAACAATTTAGAAAATTCACAACCTCAGAACCCCAAATTCCCACCTCCTCCAAACCCTAACATTCGGTCCATCGCAGCCCCAAATCGATCCAGGAACTATGTTCAACGATTGCCTTAAATATGATCACCAACCACAAAGTAGTGACCATATTAAGAATTGAGAAGAATCATGTGTACGGAGGGATAACCTTACCTCTACCTAGTCGAATTTCAGGACTCCGAAGTGGCAAAGTGGTTTGTGTAGTGTCAGTGCGCTTCCTCCATGCCGTCGGCTCAAGCTAACCAGGTGGGAGGTCGATCGAAGTAGTAATACCGGTGGGATTAGAGCACGATCTCCACCTTTCTGCGACACCAGGAGATTATGTTTGTGAGGAGGAGACTGACCGCCGCCACGAGGTTGTGGGATCTCAGCTCCCCGTCGATCCCGTGCACGATCACACGGCCGCCGCCGTCGTCGTGCAGATTGCAATCCACGACCTCCGCGTGCAGGTAACCCTCCGTCGTGCAGATTCCAATCCAACTCCAACGGCTTCTCCCTTTCACCTTTCCCCCTCTCTCTCTGTAATGAGATTGGAATTGCGATTCCCTTTTTGTCTCTCTCTCTCGCTCTCTCTCTTAATAACAGTAGAAAAAAACAAAGGAACTGATGGAAGCATAATGACCGAAGAGGTGGGTTGGGAAATAAAAAATAAATACAAATTAAATGACAACGTGGGCTGGCAGGAGAAAAGGTGGGTAGTGGACAGTTTTTTGGTTCTGAAATCAGGCGGGGACTCCTTTTTTTTCCCGCTTAACACTCTGCCACATCAGCTTCCTAAAATCACTCTATGGGCAGGAAATTTTGAATGGGCGGTGCAGTTTTACTTTTCAGCTATAAATTATACTGTTGATTACGAAAGATTTAGTTATTATTGTGGAGTAAAAAAAAAGAATTTAACTAAAAAATAGTATTTACCCAAACTTTCTTTTGTTTAAGAAATTTCCTTCAAGGAGAATGGTATGGTCATACGGATGCTAGTTGCACGGGGCGGTGAATTACCAGCACTAATTCCTGAGTGATGGTTTTAGAATTAGTAATCAATGTTGTAGACGGCGAATGGGCAATGCGAACACTAAATTGGATTATGTGTTGGATTTTTATGATTAGAGATAACGGCACGGTGAGTCGGTGAGATGATTCCTTCCTCCGTGAAAATCAGCTAACTAGCATTTCACCCGGCCGTCCGTCGTCGGACGGACTATTTCTTGTTTCACATTTCTCTTCCGAGTTCCGACTAGCCATGTTAATGCCAGAAAAAGTTGTGGTCCATTAAAGTCTCAAAATTATGTAGAATTATTTATATGTAAGATTTGTAAAATATCTTAAAAATAGATTTTTAGCCCTCATTGGATACATATATGATATATCCTCCTACTGTCAATTCGATTGAAGGAACCCAGGAAGGAATCACTTTTACAAGGTCCCTATACCCATCTAAACCTACAACCGAACACAGTTCAACCATATTAGATAGCTAGAACCAAGGCATCTGACTGTCAGATTCTGACATGATGGCAGCAGAATCGAAAGGTTCCTGAGTTCGAAGTGGACAAAGCCTTTTTGCTCATCGGGAGCTTCAACTGTTTTCCCTACACAGCCAGAGGAGTGCAACTGTTCCAGTTGACAGCAGCGAATCGATCTCTCTTTAGGCTGCATCGGATCAACTATCAAGCGCGCCAAGTGCCTTCATGTCTTCCAAAAAGGCTGAGTACGAGTCATCAACGCTCTTGCCTTTAGGCGCAACTCCTGCTGTTGCTGAAGGTGGTTCAGGCTTTAATACAGTAGAAACTACAGGCCTCGTTGACATTGTAACAGCTGAGGGCGCCGTCACCTTTGGTTTCGGTTTCGCGACAGCAAATGTTTCTCTCCTGACTCTCACAGATGCAGGAACCTGAATTCAAACAAAAAGAAATTGAGTATGAATCTTCCAGGGAAAATGTATTTAATGCAGTCGTTACTCTTAAGGGGTTGGATAAAAACTAACCATGGCTGTAAGTTCTGGGGTGTGTTGTGCCAGGGGCCTTTTCACAACAGTAGATGCAGCGGATTTCACATAAGATGGTTTCTGGGGAGCAACAAACCTACTACCTACGCCGTCTTCAAGCATCATACCGGGAGGAGGGCCCGGAGGCAGTGGTGGCCTCATCATTGGGGGAGGTCCAGGTGGTGGACCATACGGCGGTCTTGGCATCATTGGGACCATCCCTACTGGAGGGCCAGGAAGCCCAGGAGCTGCTAGAGGTGGCCGCATGCCTGGTGGAGGTGGAGGGGGTGGAAATCTTGCCATTGCAGGTGGTAGAAAATCAGGCTGTATGCTTTGGACCATGGGTGGTGGTCCAGGCAGTAGGGGCTGTTGCCTAGGTGGAGGCGGGGGAGGGGGAACCATCTTTGTTGCATCAATGGCTGACGGAGGAACACCGGGATCAGATTCAGATGAATTATCGCCTTCAAACTGATGGATGGTCAACTTCATAGGCATTCCAGGTGGAGGTGGGAGAATGGGCACCTGAATCAAGACAGAAGATAACATTAATACAATCTCTTCACTATTAAGAGTGAACCGGTTACAGAACTCTGCAAGAACCTAACGCACAAGAGGTCCATTTTACACGGCAAATCAAAGTTCACGGATTAGTACCAAGGAAGGACCAGCAGTTAATGAAAACATTAACAAAGATGGAAATGGTAACCCTGAAGCATGGAACATTATGTTTTCCAGTTCCAGCAATCTTCCTACCAATTCAACTCCAAACCTCAAGGATCTTCCATTTTGCAGAGCTCAGATACAACCAGTTGGCACTTGTCGGTGCCTCTGGTTGGTCAAATAATCAACTTCTCTATCAAACATACCATTCAACTTCTAAAATTTTCCTTTACAATAAAAATGGATCAAATTTACATCATGTTTCCTACATTTCTAACTCTTACCATTTCCCTACTATCAAACTCCAAAAGTCGTGGAACCAATTCAGGCATTTTCACAACTCACATCTTTTGATAATTTCATCAATCAGAAAAGGTTAAAAAATCACGGGAAACTTAATCATTCACTCCTTTAGATAAGTTTTTTTACTGCAGAGTTCCACTTCTACTATTCCCTTCTAGTATGTTGTTAACTTGTTAACACGGAAGTAAAAGGAGAAGAATCCTCACTCACCTGAACAGTCTCCTTTGATGAAGAGTCGTCTGCCAATGTGGATGAATCTTTCTCATTCTCATTGTCATTATTAGTGCCAGGAGGTGGCGGCTGAAATGATGCAAAACTTATAATATGGTCTTTTTGTGGAGGCGGACCAGGAGGTGGTGGTGGCAAAGGTAGTGGAGGCAATGACATACCCAAGCTTGGTGCAGGAGGTTCTGGTGGAGGCGCTGCTAGAGGCATAGATGTGGTAGGTACCACAGAACCATCCCCTGAACCCACATCACCTGATTCTGGCAAAGGAGGAGGCGGAGGCAATGGAGGTGGAGGTACTCCCAGAGCACCATCCTCAGACTCTGTCTGTGAAGATGACGCACCAGAGGTTGACCCGGCAGACAACGGAATCCGAGGACCTGCAAAAGTTATAATCTGAAGGAGTGAAGGAAACAAGACAGAGGCCATATAGATCATTTGGAAAAAGCAACGAGTGGAAAAGGACCTATCGATGATTTGTACATGGGAGGTTTTCCAGGTGGTGGAGCCCCAGTGGGATTTAGGGTAGGATGGTAGTACACAGAGTCCTGCAAGCATATGAATAGCTGGTATCAAACAAGTACTATAGCTTATATTAAAAAGAGAGTACTGCACTACACAAACTAATATATGAAGCAATTTTTTGTTTTAATGAATATATGAAGCAATGTTGTAGAAGTATACCTCAGGCTGTGGGTGCTTAGCTCTCTCTTCCTCTTCTGCAGATGTTCTTCGTCGAGGAGGTCCCAGATGACTGAAGAAAGATGTACTGCTGTTATCAGATGAAGGACAAAAAATATATACTCTCACATGCCAAACATGGACCAAGAGAAAGAAAGGCTACTTCACCTGAACATAACAGGAGTCTCACCCTTCTCCTTCATCTTGTCGGTATATTCCTAAAGATGGGAGCGGAAAAACTGATTATCACCCAAGTGTAGTAACCCAAGAAAACATTTTATAGTTCAATATCATTAAATAAAGCTTAAATATTATTCTTGGTTAACAGCCCTACATTTCAGGTTTCAGGATCTTTCAGTCCTTAAGAATTTGTGAGGGATAGCATACCAGTTCCCTACAAATAAACTTGATGGCAGTATCTGAAGCCATAAAACAATCAAAGAATACTTGGATCATCCTCAGAGTTATATGCTAGAAGAATATGAAAGACTTGTTTTTGTTAGCAAGCTAAATTATATGACAGCTCCCTCAGGCAGATTCCAAAAACCTCATGGGCTCCAAGGGAGTATCTTCTATTGGAAAATGTTATGGAAGTTCCAGAAGCTTAAAGCTAGAGATCATTTTTAAGATGGAATACTCATCGTTCCCATAAAGACAGAAAATAGAAATTTTCACCAGGTAGTGATCATCTTCAAAATGGAATACTAATCATATACCATAACCCTTGCTTTTGGTCTTAGGCTTACAGGTATGCTAATGAAAAAGCAGATCAAAGCTAATAGAAAAAGAAAGATGCATATGCAAGCACATTGCGGAAGGAATATATCACTTCTACAAAGCCTGCTATAACTTTTCTATACTTCTTAATAAACGGGTATCACTTCCTGGAAAGTGCTTGACCAGTTATCTAAAGACATGCAAGTGAATGGAGTTGACAAAAACATGAAACAGTAGAAAATACCTTTCGCTTCTTCATCACAAGATTAAGTGTATCCTCAAGTTGCCTCTTCTTGTGCTTTCTTGCTTTGTCCAGTGCACCATCAGCCTCTGCATAATAGTAGAAGAAGCTAAATCAGCAGAGAAGAAAGCAAAACAAGGGCAATGAGAATGTAAGTTACTGCAGACAAAGATGACAGGATCAACTCAGCACCAGATGTAAATAAGTCCTTATTGGTGAAATATAGGTAAATTAGAACATAGATGATTTCAAATTGTGAGATATTTTATATTTCCTTCTAAGACTTCATCCGTAAGAAAAAATTATAACCTAATTCCACCCTTGAGCACCTCTGATCAAGTCATACTCTTCCTAATGCCAAGCAAACAACAACACCATTGAACAACATTAATCTGACCCCTAGTTTATCCATGCAGTCTAAGAAACACAGCTATACAAGTCAGAGAATCCCAAAACCTAAAGCTTAATCAATGGGTCGCTTTCAGTTTTATCTGAATTCTAATTGCCTTTTGTGCTTCGTTCGATATAAATTAGACAGTATAAAGTCAGTTGAAGGGCTGCCCAGATGTTCTGACATAAGTTATGAATCCTACAAGAAAATGCGGCATGTGATAATACACAGTTGCATATAAATCTATAACCAACATAAAACAAAAACCATCAAAGTTCTCCTCCGACAACAGGACATTACCCTAATTCAAAGAGCTATGAAGAAAGAAGCAAGAAAAATGTCGACATGAGAAGCACTTACTCATCATTTCCAGTTTCTGTATCTGATCCTTGATGACAACAGGATCTTTTTTCAAAATGCCAACCTCTCTTACTTTCTTCCTTTCTTTCTTGTTCTGCACAAAGCAGGAACAAGAATGTTGGAAGTTAATTAACAAATCCCAGAAAGTGCATAAGATTCTAAGATTTCTAGCGAACATTGGATTTAAGAACATCGAAACAAGAACCAGATAAGCAGCATGACCATATATTATGATTGAAACTAATTGATGACAATCCAGCAAACCATATACTAAGGGACAAGTGAACTGCACTCATCCAAGTCTAAGCATACGGCCCTGCCATCCATTTATCAGACGACCAAAGTTAAAGCGTCTCGAGACCTGAACTGCAGAACACTGATCTTATTTTCCGAATAGGAGAAGTTATTACCCCAACTTCTGATCCACTCTTCAAAATCTAAAGTACAATAAATATTACAACATTCTTTCTCTCTTGCTTATCTCCATTTTCTATTACAATGTACATATCGAACTCAAACTGTGGGAAGCAACACATAGTACTGACACCTCTAGATCAACTAAACAGATTAACAGATGGATAATTCAATTAGAGACATAGATGCTTGTCCAAGCTTGGGTTGATGGAATCATGGGCTATTAACTACAGCTAAACAGCAATTCAAAAAAATTCCCAATTCCCAGAAACCAAACGCATTCAGCTCTCAATTCAAATTGGAAACAAACACTTGAGAGTTTCTGAAACACGACCATACAAAATCAGAGACAGGGCAAGGGAATGGATAAACTTGCCCGTTTCAATTCCTTCTTACGGAGCTCCTTACGGTAGGCATCCGTAGGGTTCATAACTTTGCCTCCCTTTGTCGTCTTCACCATCTTTCCTTCCTTCTCAACAAAAACCCTCAGGCTCCGCCCTCGGCCTAATTGGAAGATTGCGAGGTTTCTTAGGAACGAAAAGAAGAAGAGGGCGGGAAACGTTGTGGGATGGGGGTACCGGGATGAGCAGAGCTTAGAGTAATCGAATCAATGAAAGCTTCGATATGAGAGAAGACGTTTGCAGGAGAAACCCTTCTCTTCTGTTTTCTCTCGTCTCCTTTTCCTTTTTTAATTTTTACCTGTTCGGTTCGGTTCGGGATGTAATATTTGCCTATGAAAGTTTCGATCATAATGTTGGGATTGGATTGGGCTATCTACGTTAAGACATTTCGGTATATCCATTTAATTAGGCCCATTTGTCGGAAAAGTACATTTTAGTACATATATTTATCTACTTTACAATTTGATACCTAAGATTAATTTTTAATGAAAAGTACGCTTCAAAGTTACATGTTGCTAGGCTAAATTTTTAACAATGACATTTTACTACTTAATTTTTTCATAATGGTCCAATGTTACAACTGAATTCAGCCATGGACACAAATGCGGGTAAAAAAGATTTATACACGCTATGAAATCATCTGTGTCGATAAATGACTATGGTTAACAAGGAGCAGGGGCGGAGCTAGGTGAGGCTTTGCCCCCCCCCCAGAATATTAAAACTTCGTATAATTTTCGACGAAATTTGAAAAAATTATGTATAAAAAATGATTATTTTATAAATACGGTCGTGTGCAAAATCATAGTATCTGTTCCTAGCGGTGGGTATTTAAAATGTTAATTTATTTTAATATTCCAGTCATTTTAAACATACAAAATTTACTTTTTCAACCTTCGAATTCGTTATTATTGTCTTGGTTATATTAATTATCTTAAAGATATTGAATGACATGGTATTCATTGAAATGCTAATTTATTTTTGATCAGATAATATCACTTGTTCGGAACATAATATCGTCGAAATTGATCTTTTATTCATATACTTAATCACTTGTTCATATGATTCAGCATTTTTCGATAATAAACTAACAAATTTCCGCCCGCCCCCCACCCCCAAACTTAAATCCTGGCTCCGCCACAAGAAGAAATTTGTACATGCAATCAGTCGCCCTGAAACCGATTTACAGCCTCCACCCTTGATAACCAGCATGAGAGCAAAAACACTTATACAGTACCAATTCCACTGAAACAACAAACAAAACTAAGAGCAGTGACTAGTGACAATATCCAAACTAAAGGCCAGTAACAGCCTTCTGCAGTTTGTGAAATTCGTGGCAACTTTTTTCTCTATAGAGATTGCACAGCCATATATGACCCAGAATAACATGAGCCAAATTCCACACTGCAGTCCTTGTCCAAGGTGAAAGAGATGACTCAGCAAGGCTTCGACTCCCGCATTGAAGAGGGTGCAGAGGAAAGCATACCCTGCCTCATGAAAGTTGTGAGCCATATTACAACTCAGCAAACCATTGAGCTTCAGCATGGATGACCAGGACCTATCACCCATCTAGGCCATCAACTCTATGCCGCAGCAGGGAAACTGAACTTTGCTCAACCAACAAGAAGAGACATCTTTTTGGATTCAAATGCACTAGCACATAGACAAATTCCGCAGAATAACAGCAACTTCAGCGAGATTGTACTATGAAAGAAAGATTAGTTACCATTCAATGCAAGATGTAAGTGCCACGCTGATCCGAGAGTCGAACATATTGTTTTATTTTCTGAATGATGCTCGGAGTCGCCTGAGTATGACCTGACTATAAAACATTCTTGTTCGCAAGAACAATCCTAAAGCAGCAAGAGACCCCAGAAAAGTGGCGCATGACATGATCACAAAGGACATCATGAAGCAATGAGTTCCAGTGCATAAGTTCCCTTTCCCTGATGCTTCCTTATCGTATATAAACCCTATCACTCTTACTGAGAATATATAAGTCCCAACCGGACAAGCTATGGTGATTGTGTTGAAGATTGTGCCCATATGTTCCACACCAAATATCTCGGATGCAATCGAGGGCATCAGCGACCACTGGGAACCATAACAAACTCCCAACAGCACCGAACCGGCATATAAAGCACCACGAAAACCAGAAGCAATCACGCCATGACCCATGCTCATGCCTAGAAGGGTGATCGCCATGAAAATTGGCCTCGCACACCCTCCCTTGTGCAGGAAGTAATCAGACACATACCCACCTCCGAACCGGCCAAGAAAATTCCAAATGCTCCACAATGAAACCAAGGTATTTGTCTCCAGACTCGGGTAGCCAAGAGCCTGTCCCACCTGGCCCATGTTGTTCACCGTCGCAAGTCCTGACCCCATCCCACAAGCCATAGCAAGAAACAAGATCCAGAAATCCACCGTACTAATCGCCTGCAAGAGATTCAGCTCTGGCAGAGCAACATTTTCATGGATCTCTACATTATCATTCTCCTGCTCAGGAAGTAACCTGGACTCATCTACAAAACTATCAGCTCCAGCACCAACAACAGAGTTTCCCCTTCCCTCAGCTCTAATAGCAACCACCAGAGGTGAAGTTAGGAGCACCAAGAGCAGGACTAAAGCAACCACACGCAAGACCAAATGGAAACTGAAGAAATTTTCTAGCACTATGATGATCATGAGATATGCAGCAATAAACAACGCAATCAATGAGAATCCATCAAGACGCTTCTTCTCATCTTCTTCTTGTCTGGTGTGGACTCTAACAAACCACATGAGTAACAGCGTGTTGAGAGTGGGCAGAAGGGCTAGCATCAGTAGAAACGAGTCTGGCTTGTTATCAAATATGGTTTGGTAAAATTGAATCAACATTGCTCCACTTAGACCCAGAAAACCCTGATTGCAAAAGAAAGAGGAATTAGTACGAACCAAGACATGAATTTAGATTCCAGGAAGTAAGAATCCCACCTTCATTATCCCGACGGCAGTGCCGCTGTACTGACGGAAATTCCTGACGGAGGTGACAACGTTGGCGGTGTTGAAGAAGCTCTGAGCGTGCGCGGCCAAGATCATGAACAGACACATCACAGGCACCGGCGGCGGAGGGATCACACCGACGACGGCGGCCCACATGAGGAAGTATCCGGCGAAGTTCTGCAGGGCGCCGGCCAACAGAACCACCCACGGACCAGCAACGGCACCAAGTGGGCTATTCCGATTGGAAGCGACGACGACGGAGGAGTAGAGGATGCCGGAAAGGATGCCGCAGTTGGCGCCGATGTCTTTGAAGACGGAGATCGTGTCGAGGGTGGATTGATCGTAACCCTGGGTTGACTTGAGGGCCTGGGAGTAAACGGAGAAAGTGTAGAGGGAGCCACTTGTGCACTGAATCCATATGCTGGCGACGGTCGAGAACCATTTCGAGTTGAGCCCTTTCAGCGTCGCCATGTCTTTCGTTTTCGTTTGAATTCACCAGAGGGGATTTTCCGATTTTGGCCGGGAGGGCATCGGCAGAATTTGTCAGGCAGAATTCGGCACGCGTGTATCATGCCATCTGCCAGACGGGAGCGTTTCGTCATGGCAGCAAACAGTGAGAGCTCCAAGCCGAAATGCAAAATTCCAATTCAATCGCCGCCGCCGCCTAACGCCGGGCTAGTTGCCACCTTCCCCTGCTCGACCGCAGCCTTCTGTTGTCCGGCGCCGTTCAGAAATCAGAACTGCGAACCTTGTTCTAGAGCCAATATTAACTCATTTGGGCTGGGCCAAAGCCCAAGTGTATTGCTTATTGTTGGGCCCACATGTAAGAATATCATGTAACAAGTGGTCTAGGACAACATGTGGAAAGGGGCTTGTTGAAACTTAGGCCAACAAAACAAATTGGAATCCAACTTACCGTTAAAATCTGAAAATACCCACCCATGATTCAACATAAATGTCTGGCATACGCTAATCTTATCATATGTAAATTAAGAATTAACCTAGGCTCTGAGCCATGATAATATACTTTAAATTCAAATGGGTTAATCATAGTCCATAGACTCTAGTTTGCTAAATTCAAATCATAGATGAGTTGAATAAAAACTAGTAACTTACGGTTCTTATTTGTTGAAATACACCTAATATGTATGAACACATACGTTTATTATGTTTCTAGTGTATGCTAGTCTAAATTTCTCCCATTACAAATCTCTCACTTCCATTATCACTTTTTTAGACTCTATTGATAAATATAGTCCTAATAGAAAACCCATAAATTCATAATAAAATGAAAACCAAATATGTAAATACATAACCTAAAAAGTAATTGTTTTAATATCTTTGATAAGTTTCTCAAATATGTAAATACAATTAATTAAGTTGTGAAAAAGTTTTGACTTAATTAAGTGTAATAACTAATTATTATTAACATTTAAAATAATTTGATGGGTGGACCTGAATACCCGAAACCAACCTGACCATAACCCGAACAACGTGTAACCCAACAACCCTTAACCTGATTGACTATAATCCGATTAACTCATAACCTATGTGATCCGTAACTAGATTAACTCATAACCCACTTGACTGCTGATATCTAACTCAATCAACCGACAACATTATAAAATCAAACTCGATTGACACACAAATTGATTGACCTTTAACCCTACAACAAACCGCCGATTGACACAGAGACCACAAAAAAAGCATCCCCAGAGCCAAAAGCTCAATCAAAACTGGATATAATATTATGATATGGTTGCTTGGGTTCTGGGTACTTTCAAATTTTCAATAAGCGTGAAAGCGAAAGGTGGTGGACCATGAAAGTGGGGAAGCCATCCCCCAATAATATAAGTACACTTTGTGTACTTTTAACCATTTCAAATTTTTTTTCAATCATAATGAAAGTAGGAAGAACATTTTTTGTCTTTACAATTAATTATTTATCTTACATAAAAAAATATCAACACGAGGATTTGAACTCGGATCTCTTCAAAAAAAGACAACAATCACAACCATTTACAATGAACAAATTTGTTGTGTCTTTTTCAATACAAAATATATACAAAGTTCAACTCTCTGAAAATCGCAGAACTTTCAATCATGATTAGCAAGCCCACTAAGTATACCGTATATATTTTTATGGTGCTTGATACTTCAATTTTCATTGTAGGGTTCATGTACTTTCTCAATTTTAAAATTCTTTCTCTCTCCTTAATTTTTGCTATAGGTAAATTGGTAATTGGCTAACATGAAGAAAAAAACTAATTTTGTCACTACATGTTGTGTCCTTGCATTTTTCAATTTAAATTTTGTGGTTTTTATATTTGTTATTATCTCTTTCTAACTTCCTCGAAAATTCCCTCCATCGTAGAATAGTTTGCACCCCTTTCACTTCCCAGTACAAGACCGCCTTTGAAAATCAATCATCCGGTATCTCTTGGCACGTCGGTTTTATTATTGGGAATTTAAGTTGGACATGTAAAAGAGTTTAATAAATAATGGAGTTGCAGAAGGAGGATTAGAAATTGAATTTTTTGTTGAAACATATGTCTCTTGAGATAAAAATTTGGTTGTACAACAAAGAGTGGTGGCTATTGGATCTTTATATTTATGGTTTTTACATCTATCACAACCTATTTCTATCTTTAAACGAGGAATCATTGATTAATTTATTGAAGTAGGTCGATTCTTTATTCAACTTACTGGAACTGATAGACAAGGAGTGTCTAATTTTGTGCCTTACTACTTTGATTGAGTCTATTAGTATATTAGAGATAACCCTAATTTTGTGTTTGCTCTCAAGTTTTGATGGTCCTCTTTTAGCTGACTTGTTAGCATATAGTTGACTTGAATCAACAACTCTCCATTTCTTTTTTATTAGTGGCATATTGTTCATAAAAAGGAGCGCATTAAACCCTTATATAGGATTGTGAGGTTTAAGTTTTAGTTTCAAACTATCTATGGGTCGTGTGGAATTTCACTGAATTTTTATACCCTCTTTCTTGACAATCAACTAACCAATAGCATTTTAATGAGGGCTTAATCATCATTATGAAAATGGAAATAATGATACATTTTATATTTTATATTCTTAAATGATGATGATATTTCTACGAATGTTAGGCCTATATATTCTTTCTTTATGTATCATCTCGATCGAAGGATTGTCAATAAAATTAAATTGGTTGATTAGTTTAAACGTAACATAAAAATATAAATAATCAAATATGAAATATTCTGGCCGATGGGCCGGGTTATAAGCTAGTATGTAAAAAAGATCGATTCCTGGACGTACCGCGTACGCAGTGGAAAGCATATGCATTAACAACGTAACCAACTTTTAATTTCGTGGACCATCGTGTTAGAGAGTTGTATAAGATCCAGCATAACCTTCTCCCAACAACTCGAGTTATTGGGAGCAACTGGTTCTTGACATGGTATCAGAGCTGGTTTGGCCAAGTGGTCGTGTGTTCGAATCTCCACAACCCCCAATATTAACAGTTGTCTTCAAACACATGGTATGGCGGGCCTATGCAAAGTTCAAGCCCATGGGTTGGCTTTCGCAACTGGTTCTTGACAACAGGTAACGTTTAGGGACGCCATGAAATAACGAAAATGCACATGACAAATATTTAGTTGAAAAACAGAAATTCTCATATATATGATAATATTTTATCACATGCATTTCGATGAACACATTTGAAATTCTCGTAGATCAATGAAACTAAAAGTAAACTATTCACGGGTCCGGCCGGTTGGCCGGATTCACAACACCGCTCGCGTAAATAGTTGTACCAATTTGTATGTGAGATTTTTGTTTCTTTGGTAGTGTGTTAAAAATAAAGGTTTCTAAAAATATTTAACATTCTAATTTCTTGGTAGCATAAAAGAATTCAAATTATTGAAATACTTCAATCATTCAAAAGATGACACCATAGTGTTTTCCGACATTCTAACCGAATTATCAAGTATAATTGTTTTATGAAAATGAAAGATATACCCTATGTCATGGATCCGACTTCTAAAAGTCTTTTGAAAAAAATCCTTCTATACTCCTCATTGTCAGAAATTACTGCACGTTTTATTATATTTTGTTTGTAAAGGTCGAATTATCTGTTGATGTCCAAGTCCAACACGTAGTAATACCATCTTACATGATTAAATTGTTATATTAAAATTGCATTATGTACCATTTAATAAGCTAAATGCCAATATAAGAGTTACATCTTGTAAACTATAATAGCCCATGTTGTAGATTACATGGACTCTGTTAACAGAACGATGGTGATTCTCCATGTTTGTAATTTTACTCAAATCCGTATAAATTCGATGATCATAGCTAACCAATATTTTGAAGAATGATCGGTTTACCCATTTTTAAGAGGTGTAATTTAGACACACCAAATTAATCGGATTTGTAAAACGCAAAAAGTTGGGTATCAAATGTAATCAAGAAATTCGTAGGTACCAAATTTATTTTGGGCCATTCATATTGGAATTTTAGGACAAAATATTAATTTAAGTTGTTGACTTCTCAAATATATTAAGTTAAGGTAGAATAATATATTTTTCTATGAGTATGGTTACAAACCCAAATCAAACAATAAAAATCTGGACCAAGCCAAATAGTTGGTATGAGTACAATAGTACTCTAGGAGATTTTGATTACGACTCAAGTGTCTTTTTCCACATTCCACAAATTAATTGATTAAGTGAAAGATAAGTAGGCAAATTAATGATCAAATCATGACAACACACTTCTACAATCATTCGTTGCATAATATTTATTAGTCACGACATCATAAGAATAATATTAAAAAGGCACACACCCCTCAACACGTACGGCCGATGCATAACCAAAAAATTACATTATTTAATTGAAAACAAAATTATGTCCTACCAAAGGACACGAAGTACAAAATTAAAATACTTCAACCATTCAAAAGGATCACCATCATAGTATTTTTCGAATATTCTAACCAACTCATCGAGTAAAATTGTTTTTGAAAAAATAAAAGACAACCCCTATGCGAGGGAACATACTCCTAATTTACTTTTGCGAACCATTCTATTTACTCCTCATCATCAGAGAACACTCTATGTTTTGTTTTTAGCTTGTTTGCATTCCCTTTGCCATGAGCAACATCATCATCTTCACCGGTAGCGAAGTCTTTTTTCTCCATTAGTGACATTGTTTGGTCCAATATGAGGTGACTCCCACTTCTTCTCAAGAGCATCCTCATTTCTTGCACCGGATCCAATACCTCCATCATTATCAATGCCATTATGGATCTCTTGCATTAGGATAATGATATTCGATTTTTGGCATTCAAAAATAAAAACTATTTTTTGTTTTATTGAATTATAAGTGTATAATATTTGGTATTAAAGTGAAGACCTATACACGTTGATTATACAACTAAGTATGCAACTGCATGCATGTGAATATGAAATAAAGGAAAGTTGCACTCTTTTAAGTTTTACAATTAAATGCATTGCAAAATTCTTTGGTTTGTTCATTTCAGTAGATATCAGGCTACCGATTCGATGATATACTTGACTTCCCATCGAATAAACATATACTATACGTCCATCATTGATAAATCGACCTCCAATAGACGTCAAAGTAAAGACCTCATTATATCCTCAGATATATTCCAAAAAGTGACGTCTCATTGAAGTGCTTGCTTGCAATAGCATATTCAAAACCTCC